GATCCCCTACCATCAAGGCGGGGCGAGCCCTCGGCAGGCGCACTGCCCGACGCCAACAGTGCGGTGGGCAACTCTCTTTGGGGCAAGAAAGGAGTGGGCGGTTGGGATCGTGGTCTGTCGCACACCTTGCCTTATCTATCAAGCAATCTTGCTTTCGAATGGGAATCTTAAAGAAGGGAGTCCTCTGCACGGCAAAGGTGTCTTTCCCACATCCCCTAACTGCTGCAGTTTTTTCCAGAGTGGAGACCTCTCTCATTAAATCTTGCCCCAGAATTCCGCAATTCCTTTCTCTGTTTTGGCTTTGGGTTCAGATACTGTCCAGTCTTGGTAACTTTTGTTGTTGACAACGTGTTCTCCAGCCAGATGCCCTAAACTTGAATGGATTAGAATCAATCTTATTTTCATTTAGCACCAATCACATGGACCAGTACAATAATTTAAGTATTCCTGGCTTCTCTCCTCTAGGGAGAGAAGTTTTAACTTTGGTCTGCATCTTCCTCACTTAACAAAAAGCTCTGGGGGTGGGGGGGCAGGCTGATACAATTAATTAATTCCTACCACAAATGAAAAGTACTGTGGGTCTCTTCAAATCGCCAGCAAGCAAAAGCTCACCGAAGTCCCATTCAAGGGTTTTGCAACAGCTGGGCTCAGCCTCTCTCTGCGCCACTATTTCCTCAGTTATGAAATGAGAAGGAGGCTGGATTACAAGCTCTTCAAGGCTCTTCCAGCTTTAAATTCTTGCGATTCTGTGACCTCTATAAAGTGTCAGACGGTTTCTGCTAGATGCCAATAAATTACTTTTAACATATCAGTTACTAGTACAGAAATATAGAGCATGAACACAGCTTTTGTTTAAATTTGTAGTTAATTATTAATCTGGGAATGTTTCATAGTTTAAAAGATAATTTCCCTTTATTAGTAGTACTATTGTTATTAATTAGGCTGTGATCTTTTGGGGCAAAGACAACTTTTAACTTTTCCAACATGTTGTTACAATGAGGAATTTAGCTGACAATACAGTAGGAGAAAATCCAAAGAAAATCTGAAATTTAATCCACTTGGGGAAACATCTGTAACTCCCACATTCACATATAATATACATGGTGAAATTTGAAAGACACTTTAATTTGGTACCAAGATGTTTGACAAATGAGTCTTCCTGGATTTTCAAATTTACACGTGGACAAAGAATAGCTATCTGAACTTTCCATTCCCTCCAGAAAAACAAATCTCCTGCATTCCACTTTCTATTCCCTACCCATATATCCTGGTCACCTCCAGCCCCAGTTTTTCAGAGTGACAAGTGTTTACAAGTCCTCCCTGCATTCTCTCAGAGGGATCAGCAACATGCCCCAAATATACTAACACTTTCAAGTGGTAGGAACCAATCTATCCTCTAGACAAGAAGCTGTTTGTACACTTTTTAAGGGGACTTTATGAAGTAAAAACAAAGGAGATGCTTCACCTATAGAAATAGCAAGTAAAATCAGTTTCCAACATTATGCCCAATGAAATCACCAGAATGTTTAGGTTTAATCACCATAAAGCCGACAAGTACAAACATGAACCTTGGATTTTCAAGTAATCACACCCTTGTGGGAAAATGATAAAGCCAAATCAAATGCACCAAGCCCTAAGTTAAAAAAAAAAAAAAAACAAGCTTAAGAGTTATAAGGTTTTTCTTTTCTTTTTTGGTGCTACAGATCCAATCCAGGACTTTGTACATACTAAGCACATCCTCTACTACTGAACTACATCCCCATCCCTCTTCAAAAGTCTTGAATCAGCTGGGTGTGGTGGTGCACACCTGTAATCCCAGTGACTCCAGAGGTTGAGGTAGGAGGATCACAAGTTTAAGGCCAGCCTTAGCAACTTTACAAGGCTTTCAGCAACAGTGAGACTCTATCTCAAGATAAAAAAATAAAAGGCTAGGGAAGTAGCTCAGTGGTAAAAACTGGGCTCAATCCCCAGTTTAAAAAATAAAAATAAAAACAGTCTAGGATCAAATATTTCATTCTCCAGATTTCTATGTCTCTTCTAAGCAAATGTATAAATTCATATTCTTATCTGTCTTTGCATTTGAGTAGCAAACATGCTGCTTATTATTTCTATGTATGTTTCCCCACCAGACTTAGCTTTTTGAAACAGAGTTTGTCTTTGCATTTTGTACTTAAAGTTAGGTCCGGCACATTTCAAGGGGTCAATGAATGATACTTTTTAAACCTAATGTTTACTGAGAATTTTTATTGCTATATGGAAGGCACTATATCAAACATTTTGCTTGCATTAGTTCATTAATTCCTCTTAACAATATGCGGCAGGGTGGAGGTGTATGTAGAGAGGACAATATAAGACCCAGTCCTCAATAATTATAAACTTGCCCAAGATCACATTGCTGGTGGCAGAGTTGGAATCTGAACTCAATACTTTCTGCCTTCAAGGTCATGTGTTTAATGACTGACTACACTGCTTTCAAATTTGATAAGCAAAGAGAAGGTAATCATTTTTTAATATTTATTTTTTAGTTTTAGGTGGATACAATATCTTTATTTTATTATTATTATTTTTTTTAAAGAAAGAGAGAGAGAGAAAGAGAGAGAATTTTAATATTTCTTTTTTAGTATTTGGTGGACATAAGATCTTTGTCTGCATGTGGTGCTGAGGATCGAACCCGGGCCACACGCATGCCAGGCGAGCGCGCTACCGCTTCAGCCACATCCCCAGCCCCTATTATTATTTTTTTATATGGTGCTGAGAATCGAACCCAGTGCCTCATGCATGCTAGGCAAGCACGCTACACTTGAGACACATCCCCAGCCCCAAGAAATTAATCATTTTTTACAATATAGTTTTGGATTAATAACCACTATTCCTAATTGCTTGCTCACAAACATAAATGTAGGGTGGCATTTATGGGCTCTGATGCTGCTATTATTAACACCATTTTATATTTATATGAGACTTTTATAATTTTTCTAGGTACTTTCATTTATATTATCTCCATTGGTTCTCAAAGTAAGCCAGTGAGGTAGGCTGAACATATTATTAGTTTCCTCTTACAGATGAAGAAACCAAGGTGTAGAACTGATTTGCCACTCTGTGAAGGGACTAGGTTCCAGAAAGACAATAGGGCTCCTGATTCCTGTTCTAGGGTGATTTTTTAAAATATTTTTTTTAATTGTAGGTGGACCCAATATCTTTATTTTATTTTTATCTGGTGCTGAGGGTTGAGCCCAGTACCTTCCACATGTGAGGCGAGCACTCTACCACTGAGCTACAGCCCCAGCCCTCTAGGGTGATTTTTAAACTATTTTATGCCATAGTATTGGGATTTAAGGAGTTTGTATCATTTTGCTACTTGAGTGGGTTTCAAGAGTGAAGTCTGGGTGACTAGATGCTAAGTGACGACTCATTTACCAACTTTGGAATCTTAATCTTTGAATAGGGAATGTACAAAGCTCCCAGTTTGGGAGGGCTCTGGAGGGATTCTTCTGCCATTTGAGGTACACGATTGTAATTTTTGATCCCTTTTTTCCTTTAGAGTAGGCCATATTCTAGATACCATTATTTAGGATAATGGGGAGAGGATACAGGGACTCTCCCCATGTCTGCTACCTGCTTTCTCCAGTCTTACATTGAAAATATCATACTTACATGTGAAATATTTGGGAAATCTCAAGTGAATATCATAAGATATGTGGGCTATTATTCTGATCAAAGATATTTTTCCCTATCCAGAAAAATGATTCTACAAGAAAAACAATTGAGATTCACACAGGAAACACCTTCATATTGAGCTTCAGAAATAAAAGAGAAACTGGTGGCACATGCCTATAATCTCAGCCAATCGAGGCTGAGGCAGGAGGAGCACAAGTTTAAACTCAGCCTTGGCAAATTAGCAAGGCCCTGTCTCAAAAAAACAAAACAAAAAAAAAAATTAAAAACGGCTGGGGATGTATCTCAGTGACAGAGTGCCCCTACGTGCCCAGTACTGCCAAAAAAGAGAGAGGAAAAAAAGAGTTTGGAGGTCTCCATCATTCATCCACTTTAAAAATCCTAATAGAGAAAACCAAAACCTATTCTAAAATAAAAGTTATTTTGTTTGGGACCACACTTCAGAGAGTGCAAAGGAAGGAGGATAAAAGAGAAATGAAGTGATAGGAAGAGACACAGAGAGAAAGTTATAGCACAGGAAGAAGATACATCAAAAGACACCAAGACAGGGGCTGAGATTGTGGCTCAGTGGTAGTACATTTGCCTAGCATATGTGAGGCACTGGGTTTGATTCTCAGCACCACATATAAACAAACAAATGAATAAACGTCCATCAATAACTAATAAAAAATTGGGGGCTGGGGATGTGGCTCAAGCGGTAGCGCGCTCGCCTGACATGCGTGCGGCCCGGGTTCGATCCTCAGCACCACATACCAACAAA